AGAAAGGGTTGTTGAATGGTCAACTGATATTTGTGTTCAATTTAAGAGTCGGCTTGTTTCTCGAAGCGTTCAAGATACGCTCTTGCATCGTCAACGCTGAAATGCCGTATAACAGTCGGTGCCATGTTGTGAACGAGTTCAATGAAGGCAGATACAACTACATAATCGCATCCGACTTGAACGATGTCTTCGCAAATGACTCATCGCAGCAAAACGATAGCAATGACGTTGGTTTTAAATATTACTTTTCATCAGGTCGTCGTCATATTCCAGTTGATTTGCAGAATCTTTTCTGTAACAATTGGTTGACGAATTTTTGTGCACTTGGGAAATTTATAAATTAAAATGTTGTTGTGTATTTCAATACAGACAGCGGTGAAGGTACATCAGAAGAAAGAAAAAAGAAAGCGTAAAAAATGGGATAAAGAGTCGGGTGTATCTCGTGGTATCGACTTTCATCACGTTTCGAACGTTATCAACTTTGACTTTCCAACCGCAATCGATTCTTATATACATCGTGTTGGAAGGTGATTAAAATTATTTTATGGCATAGATTGTTTATGGAGTGTGCGTTCGTTCGTTGTGTTCATCTCAGTTGACTGATGGTTATTTAAGGTTACATATGAAATATTACATATCAAGTTTGATATTTACATCTCAGTTTGTTCATCACTCGTAATGATCATCCTCTTGTTCAAGGACTGCACGTGGCTGGAATAAAGGAACCGCGTTATCGTTCGCGATACCTAGCGAAAAGCAATTCGTTGATGAAATCAGTGAATATATTAATGAGATGGGCTCAGTAATAATGCCTTACGAAATACGAATCAAAGAACTGGAATCATTCGTTCTGAGAGCAAGGGTAATTTTGTGTTACGAAATTTTCATCTTTCATCAATATTTGCTCATTTTGGGAAATTAGAGAAATTGTTTAAGTTTATTTTTATTACATATCAAGTCTAATATTTGCATCTTAATTTGTTCATTAAACAATAATCACTCGTAATGATCGTTATTTAAGGTTACATACGAATTATTGAAAATTTAAATTTATTATTATATCCGTTATAAACAGTAACGCGTATTATTGCGATCATTGTTCTTCGGATTTTTTTGAGTCTTTTCATTAGTTTTTGTTTCAGTTTTGAAATAATTCATCACAAGCGTTTTATCGTATTTTTGAATGGTTCGAAACGGAAGGAATTTAATGTTGAATTAAACGAACTACAAAGAATCGTTGTATTAAGGAAGTGCTCGCAGCGTGCACACGAAGTGTGATTCGAGAGGCGCGATTGGCTGAAATTAAAGGAGAAATTTTGCGATCAAAGAAACTGGACAGTTATTTCGCAAAGAATCCCCGCGAAAAAGCAACACTCGAGCAAGACAAACGACTGCATTCATTGTCTTTACATAGTCCTGCAATTGCAGACGTTCCCGATTACATGGGTCAGTTCATTTTGAATGCATTTACCAATTATTTCTATGAAAATGAGAATAGTAATTATGAGTTTTCTACGCCTCTACCGATCGCAGATATTGCACTCTGCTGTGTCAGTGTTAACCTTTTACTTCCCCTAGTGCACTGAGAATTTTCTCAAAATAAGACATATTCTGAGATTGCTTAATATATTACTGATTATCTATGTTATACGTCATGCAGTGCGAGAATTCGTTTGGGTGTGTACAAATATCGCTTACAAAATCG